TTTCAAAATTTTCGATATTTTTACAAAATTTCTTGAACGACATTCCCCTTCCCGTCTTTTCCCCCGCTTGCAGTATGTAGAACAGTGCCGCCAAAACGCCCTCATTTTTTCCGGGGTCATTTACTCTTCAATTTGGCGGCTTGCCACGATGAAGCTCTATTTATTTTTTTGAATTTTTTTTTTGCAAATGTGCCTTATAGGCTCCTACCGGCTCATCAGATGTGCATCTACTGATCATTGGGGCCGACGTGTAATGCTGCTGCTATTATTGGCATTTGTCGCCTTCGTGCATTCGTCAAACTACGACCGAAAGGCGGCCATTGTACACGGCGGTCTGAAACGGTGCGTTTAGATACTTGAGTTCTAATTAACTAGGAGGCCGGTTGAATAGTTGGCGATCTTGATTATGCCAGTTTTTACCGGATAGCTACCGAAAAGCTTTAGGTTCCGTTGCGTGGAAGAGTGGATTCCGGTAGATCCGTTTGGAAACCTACTCGAAGCAAACGCTCGTGAAACTGGCTCAACAAGGGCTCGCTATGAAGCTGCAACAGCTCCTTCCACCCTTCTCAATACATATATACAATCACAAGCAAATGGAGCCGACCTTGTAAGTGCGTCAAGGTTACCTGTTTGCACCAGCTCAATGTAAAATATTTTGGACAATAAGCATTATCATGATTTAGACGGTCGGAAGTTCTGCGCCAAAAATGACCCGGGCGTCAACAATCGGGCCATTTGAGCGCGAATTGCTCGAAACACTGGAGGAAGATCCTGTCGAGACCGAACCGCTGAAAAAGACAACGAGTCCGCCGACTCGCGGCCATCGCTTCACACCAAGATCCGTACCAACCACCACATCACTTCCCAGCACCACAATTGTTGTCGACATCGGATCGACAACTACACCACCGAGCGCCACCACTGAAAAGGTGACAATACCGCCCAGAAAGGTTCCTTTAATCCTACTAAACGTAAATTTGAAAGGGAATCATATGTTCCGTAATCTCTTGCAGGTTGCCATTCATTCCGGAAACAATCGCGCTAATGAAGTTGCCGTCGCGACAAGCAGTTCACCGAAGGCCGATCAGAAGAAATTGAAAGAAACACCTGAAATTCGTCGACACGAAACTTCGTATGAACAATCACGGAGACGCAGTCCAATACGGCCACAGAACCGAAGGGTTTTTAATATAGGGTACATAGCCATCAAAAACATTTTAGCGCCCGAGCGCTCGAGAAGAGGAATTCGATCCGGGTGAAGCCGATTTTGTAGACACGGACTTTGGTGAAAATTCAGCGGAGAGGTTGGTTTAACGGGGTAGTTCAGAAGAAAATTAGGTTCTGTTCTATTTCGCGGGGGGAAATATGCTTCGCCAAAACTTCTATCTTTTCGCTATTTTCTCGGGACTTTTGCAACGCCATTCGATAGAGCATCAAAAAATATACTAAGAGTTTTTGTTTTAGCTAAAAATATTGTAATATAAAAGGTTATAGCAAAAACAAAAAAAAACTATTGAAACTGGTGCCCAAATGTTAGTTTTCGGCATTTTCGCCCATTTTTCGATATTTTGAACTTGTCATTCGGTAGAGCATCAAAAAATATACTACGAGTTTTAATTTCATCTAAAAATATCCTACCTTATATAATTTTGGCGTGTAACTGTGTGTGTGTGTGTGGATGTCACTTTCGAGGCCCGATTTGAGGGCCTTCCCGTGCATAAAACGCTCTGATTCTTCGTCAGTTGGGGGAATCGAGCCTTCTGTTTCCGATGGCGTTCTCAGAATTTCGATAAAATACAAGTTTACAAAGTTAAAGGCGGTTTTATTCATTTTTTGAGGGCTAATTTGCATAACGTGAAAAAATACAAATTTCCTCATTCTTGCCAGTTGCACTCGCGCGTGTGGTCGGGGGGTGGAGGGGTCCGCAGGACCCGAGCTATCAGAAAGTCAAACTTTTCATGCAAAGGCCGCATTCCAGCGTCCAAGGCCCGCGAAGCGGGTTTTGGGCGCTGGTTGTTTTATAAAATAGTTATAGCAAAAACAAGGTTTATACGGTGTTTCCACATGGGATCGTGGAGTCGAAAGCTAGTTTTCGACATTTTCGATATTTTTAAAAAATTCCTTTCATGCCATTCGATAGAGCGTCAAAAAATATACTAAGAGTTTTAATTACAACTCAAAATAGCAAGATATAAAAGAGTTAATAACAAACCGAAGAACATTTTCCCCCGCACAGTTTCCCCCCCCCCCGCGAAATAGAACAGCACCGAAAATTAAATTGCACTGAAACTAAACCATAAAAAAAACAAGTAAATTGTCCTGTTTAGGGAAACTTATACAAGGCGCCGCCCCTATTTCCGTGCTGAGAGGTATGGGCAAATTACAAGGTAGCCTTTTCGTGTTTATTGGACTCCGCTCGACTCCGCAATGCTCCCAAATAACACACAATATCACATGTTTTATATGCAAAATTCTAGGCGCTATCATCCGGAAAGGGTAAATCGCCAGCGGCATCGGCATGAGTATACAGATTACGAAGATGACGAGCAGGTTCCATTTCGTTCCCTATTTACCTTCCAGTTTCAGGATAGCTATGACGATTACGTGTCCCCTTCCAGGAGGCAAGCCGCGCTCAGAAAGGATAATTACGATGAAATGGAGGGTGAGCAATGTAGAGAGAAAATTAGTCGAGAAAATGAGTTTCAGAAGCTTTTCGTCGGCAATTAGCTTTCGTTTTTATAAAGTTAAATAGTCACACCAGTTTCGTCCAATGTCTCATAGAGCCCTGCTTAATTCGAACATTAGATGATTTCGCACCACCGCCGCCAGCCCTGCGCTACGGCAGATCCCGACATGCACAAATTCCACTAGGCTACGGGGTACTTTTGAATTTTTTAGTTAGATGCATAAGACTTTGCAGGGGCATTCGCAGAAAGAGCCCCGACTTCGAGCAAGTCATATATCAAGTCTGCCGGTTGATGGCCTGGATAGACGGAGCATGCCCTTGCCATTTTTGCCCTCGGTCCCCGTCTATAATCCACCCCCACAGCCAATCATTCCGCAACAGTATCCGCTTGCCACTCTCGTCACACCCCGTCCGCCAAATGCCGCTGGGTTCGTCTGAATTTTGGGCTATCGAATTTTTTGGCTTTGGTTATGCAAGTTAGGGAATTTTCCATGGGGTGAATCGATAATTTCGATTGCCTATTTTAGAGCGGAGCCAAGAAAGCTGCCACAACGACCCCGGAAGCGACAGCGTCAACCCCCGAGGATGGCATTCACTTCGCTGCCAATACAACACCTACCGTAGGCGTTATTTCCCCTTTGAAACGAGCAATTGTAGAGCTGCCTTCCCGTCTCATTCCACCACCCTCAGCCCGGTTCAATACCCAGCGTAAGTGGCCAAAGGGGGCCTACTAAGGAAATCCGGAAGATCCTTTCACACAGATGGTTCTAAAAATTTGCACACAGCTAGAGTCGGCGGTGCTGATCCTCGACATGGTTTGAAATTGCCTACAGATGTTTAAACTCGAGATATTTGTTTTCTGCAGGGGATTATTAATTAAAGGCGTCTAACTTCAAGCTGAATTATTTTTTCTTCCTGGTTGATTTTTCAAAAACTAGTCGCCGCCAACTTATTAAAGGGATGAGGACGGCATGCAGCGGCGAGAGAGGGCGCCCAAGAGAGAGGCGCAGAGACATTTTCTTTCCCGCGCGTAATCAATTGACTTATGCCGTCCTTATCCCTTTTAAAAGTTTTTTCTTGTAAACGAGCGCTAACGCAAATTTTCGAAAAGCGGAAAAATTTTTAAAAATGGCGATAATCTTGGTATAAATAATTTTTGTTTGGGAAAGGTTAGTCGTACAAGAGCAAAATTTCTGGCATATGCCAAAAAGCATTCGATAGATTGTTTGATCTTAACTTCAGCCCTCTGCGGGTAGCGCCTATGCCACCTGCCGTGCGTTTTGAAGAAGCTACCCCGGAGACGTGCCAGTTGATGAAGAAACTAGCCGGGGACTACGGTAAGCCGGGTGACCCATTTGCGAACCGATCTTTAGGGATCACGGACATTCCGGGATTTGCGCGAAACAATTGTTTGATGCTGCAAGGAATGGTTGGTGGGGTGAGCATCACAATCTGAACATTTATCCCTGACACCAAGTGCAATCCTGCCGAGACGAACAGTTATTTAGGGGCTGTCGTGCGAACAGATCGAGCACTTCATCGCTAGCTGCAATCGACGGAAGTTTTTCTAACGCGCTCCCCCCTGGACCACCAATTGATTGCTCCATCTCCAATCATTGTTATTAACATTCCCCTCAAAAATCTTTACGAGTATGTTTGAATCGACCAGAGCTATCTAGACTGTGATTTGGTTTTTCTATAAAGAATTATATGGAAAGTTTACAATAAGCACTAACAATAAGCAAATATAGTGGTACCGAAAGCAAACTGTGACCGGAGCCGCCTAGGCCCATTTGAGGAATTAGTGCTTCCTAGATAAGCTCTTGTCGATTGCTCTGGCGATAAGCTAATCAAAAATCACTCTGGAAAAATGCATGGAGTTTAACCGGAGTTGACCTTATCCAACCAAATCCTCGCTCAAATCCGAGGACTTACTTCAGGATAAGATCTGAAATATCAAATCTGAAATTTTTCTCCCGCAAATCACCGAAATATGCCGTTTCTCACGCTTCTGCGCTGCAAAAAAGGCTTCTGAAAAATAGTTACCAGCAAAAATTTAAGGCTGGACGAAAACGGAAGCTTCATCAATTCGTCCGAATTGAAGGTGGATATTTATTTGAATAAGACCATGCCTTATCAGTCCTCCTTCTTGTATATGAGTGCATAGACTAATTCTAGATGTGTGCGTTCGTTCGCATCGAGGGTTCGAGCCCCCTCCCCCCGCTGACAATGCAAGCGCGAGTGACCGTCGGGTGTTTCCCCCCGATCGGTGCGAGATCGATCGACTTCCTCTACGTTCTCTATCTCTCGACCTCTCCATCCCTTACCGCTCTCTCACCATCCACCCAGGCGCCTTTCCCATCTAACCGCAATAAGCCGTTGTGCTCGACAACTTGACTACAACTAACTTTCGCTCCCTATGGCAGTCACCCTTTGTCACTACAACGATCGGCGGAAGTTTATGCATTAATTCAATTCTTTGATTGATTTGATTAGGATTGATTATGGCGGCTTTTTGAAAGAATAAAAACGTCGCCTCTTGATTGTGGATGACGCTTACCGTGGATTATTTAGGAGTTTTTTCGAACCGCGTTTTTTAGGGAACGATACAACAATTTTTCCAAATGAATTTGTTCGAACGTGCCTTTTGATAGATTTTTGTTCTGACTAGCAGGCGATGGATAGCTGAACACTGGACTTGCGACCGTAGCTGCGCGCTTTCTCTATGAAAACATTGCTAAACAGCCAGCGTATTTGGACAGAAATCTGTAACTCAAGTTCTAAAATAATGAAACACACTCTCACATGATCCAAAAATACTTTCGAGAACGCAACATCTATCCGCCTCTGAGTTCCGCTTTCTCGAAGCAGCTGTTTGAATTGCATACATCCGATTATTTCATTTCCACCCACATTTAACGCTTGCTCAACTCAACAGAATTTTTCTAGGCTTGGCGTAGTGGGCCGGAAAGAACCGCAGATGGGCAGCGAGCTCGAGGAGCTTCGAGGCGAGGCGGCGAGGCTTGAGGCCGAGCTCGAGAAAACCCGAGAGCTCAATAGACAGGTATGATATTCCAAGATAATCCAGGTGAAAAACCTGACGCGATCCTCCTCTCGAGTCTGAGACCACCACAAAGTGCGAATTCCAGTTTTGATATATTATCGAACTGATAATTTAATTTAGGCGGCGGAAGCAGGGCTACAACTGTTGACTGAAAAGGAAGAACTTAACCACCGGGTTTCCGGTCTACAATCGGAGATTGAGGTGGCCCGCAGTGAGGTCGATGTTCTGACAAAGGTTGAGCAAGCATAAATTTGCAGAAATTGATATCTTTTCAGAAACTAGACGAGTTCCAAAGCAAACACAAAGCCGCGGCCAAATCGGAGTTAGAAAATGAGCAAGCCCTATTGGCGGAAACTAGCGAGAAGGAGCGAGTGTATGAGGGGCGAATCGCTCAACTGGAGGATGAATGCCATAAAAAGACAAAGGTATGTAAGAGTTGCAGAGACATCTCTTGAGCAACTTTTAGCAATTAATTTTCAGGAGCTCGAGCGCACGCAAACCGAGCTGGACCGTCTACAAAATGCATATGCCGAGGTGGGGGATGCGACGCGAATCTTGGAAGAGGAGGGGCGTCGTCTGAAGAGAGAGCTGAAAGAAGTACGGGAATCGGAGCAACGATTGAATGCCGAGAGAGAAGACCTCGAACTCGACAATATTGGACTGCAAAAAACGGTGGCAAATTTGCGAAGTGCCCAAGTGGAATTTGATGCGATGAAGATGACCTATCAAGAACGAGACGAAGAGATTTACTTCTTGAAAGCTGCTCTCGATGAGAATGAAAAGCTCCGCGCCATCGCCATTGCTCAGGTGAGTCAAAAACTTTAGTTTACCAAAATTATTTTGTTCCACAGATGGAGGAGGCGCTGCAGACTGCACATCAAGAACGAGAACAGCGGCTAGCGATGAAGAGGGAATTGGAGGCGTCGAAAAACGCCGAGCATATGAATAATATGCATAGTTTGCATGATCTGATGCAGCGATTGACGAGTGATGGAGATGAAGAGGGATCCGAACCTCACCCGCCTGCAAACGACCTCTTTTCGGAGCTTCAAGGCTCTGGAGACTCGCGGGTACGTTTTTTAAACAAAAACAAAGATGGAGGCAAAAGAAGTAAATTAGAAGGAAAGACACCATGCTTTTTTTACAGATACAAGAGCTCGAAACGACCCGCGATCGATTGGAAGAGCAGGTAGCGGCCGCTGAGAAGACGACTGTGGACTTTGTACGAGCCCTCTGCCAGAAGATGAACATCAACCTCAATTCCGACCTCGACTTTCGCTATGCGCGCCAACAGAAAGACCTAGTGCTTGAGCGACTTGATGCCCTGATGAAGTCAGGCTCGGATCCTGAAGCCGAAAAGAAAGCACAAACTATGAAGGGCGATCTGAGGATACTGTTGCTGCTAGCTGGTGAAAGAAATGCACAACTGGCTGCGGCGCAAGACATGATGATCTCCTTGTCAGACTCCCTCTATCAATTTTACCATCAAATGGCGCAAAGCGCAGGGATCCCGAATGACCGTCAGGTTCGTGATATTTGGTTGGTGATTACCGTAATCTTAGGTAGTAGACGTCGTGAAGAGGTTGCGGACGTTGGCGAAAGAAAATGCTGAGGAGCAGCCACACGTCAGCCTGGCTGATGAGGGCCTTGAAAGCGGCACAGAGACCGAAAGCGGTGGCGCACGCGCTTCCATCCCCTTCAATGCGGCTCGCTCGGTACTGCCACCGGGCTTTATCCGTGAAGTGGATGGACGTCTAACTGGAACCCGAACCGCCCAAATAATGCAAGACGGGGATCTTCGCCAGCGCGTGATGTCGGACGAACGAGCGCCCATTGTTGAGACTTCGGAGGCTGTACATAAGCTTGTCCTTGCCGTCCGCCGCTGTGCCGAGCAGACGATGAACACTCGAGTTGAAGCTTCGGGTCAAGAAACCGAAGAAGTCCTGCTACAAAACATTAAGCTCCGTTCACTGTTATCGACCAAACGGTAAGTGTTGCGAAAAACCTGGAATGTGGATGGAGATCACTCACCTCCGTCTATGGAATTAACACCTGGCTTTTTCGTAATTGTATGCTTAGGGATCACTTAGGGATCAAATTAAAGGCACCCGGGAACCACAGGCCCTCTTTACTGCCTTTAATCTAATTTTTCAGCGACCAAATTTCGACACTGCGGACAGTGTTGAAATCGAATAAGATCACGGCTGAGACTGCGCTGAATTCCCTACGCGACAAATACGAGAGCGAAAAGCGGCTCTCACATGACCTGATGGAAAAGCAGCGCAGAGAGTTGAAGCAATTAAAGGTTGGTATATAGCGCAGTTTTCCTGCAGGCTTCAACAAGAAAGCCGTATTCGATTGGGACTAATACTTGCTTTTTAGGAAGATGCAGCAACCTTTGCGGCTCATCGAGCAATGTTCACTGCCAGATGCGAAGAATTGCAGGCTCTGGTGGGTCGATAAAATGGCGAAGAGCTGGAAAGGAGGAAGCGAGAGAGGGAGAGAGAGAGAGAGCGAGAAAGAGAGAGAGATATAGAGAGAGATAGGGAGAGGGATGATTGAAATTGGCTTCATTTATCCTTTACGTCAGTGTTTTAGGTTGACGAGCTGAAGGCTGAAAACAAGAGTAACGAGGATGAAAAGAGGACTTTAAATCAACTACTGCGGATGGCTATCCAGCAAAAGCTGGCGCTAACGCAACGTCTAGAAGACGTCGAAGTGGCCCAAGATCGATCGACTATCGGCCGGCAGCAAAGAAATGGTCGTCAGCAGCCTGCACTGCGCGAGAATGTCCCACGTGCCGTCAGGTTAGTCGACTGTTAGTTCGACAAAAGTCCTCCCTATAGATTGAGAAGTTTGCATCATAAGAAAGAAAGGAATCTTAAGAAATAATGATAATAATCAATCATAAGAAAGGGTCTCACAAAAATCACGGAGCCAATTTAGGTATCCACCAGGCGGTGGAGGTGGTCCCAATTCGAGCCGGAAACGAGATCATCCGCCCATAAACTAGTGGTCATTCTAAAACCAAGCCCAATTCTCAACAGCGAGCTTCATCACGCCCCTTCCAATTACTTTCGTGCCGAGCTTTGCATTATGATATTCGTTAATCGAAAATTGTTATTTCATGGCTCGCGCTTTACACGTTTGTCGGTTTTTTTCCACCAGTTTTCCAAGTGGCAGCAACCCAGATTTTTTGCACGATTTTGTGCTCTTTTTATCACGTGTGCCTTCCTTCGTTTTGTTCACCTTTGGCCTTACAAACCCCTTCGATTCGTCTCCTAACTGTGACCGATGTTCATAGAATCGTGCTGTGCCGTGTTCCATTGCATCCCACAGATTTAAACCACTGTTTTTGTGGCATTAAGCTTGCACTCCACCAAATACCTTAAATCGTGTTGATTTTTCTGTCATTTTACACCTGCTCAATACGCCAGCTCGCTTCTAGTGGTGCCTCATTAACTTATCACGGACCAATTAAGCCCAATAATAATCCCTGCAAGTGTACACCTACCATATGTGCAACGTTTTCCCAGAATTTTTTGTAAGGAATGTGCTCCAAATACTTCGAATTTTGAATAAATGGTTGGTCTGGACGGTCTGGTAGGATGAATAATCCCATAGAAGGCGTATATAAACAACACCCCCTCTAACTCGATGCATAAGTATCGGATCGGAACGATAGTTGCACCATTCGAAAACCCTTGAAACGGCGCGTTTGTGGCAATCTTTAAATCCGTGTGTTTACTTAAATGCGCTGTTTTACAAGCCATTTTGTTACATTTTCTGGTACGTTTTTTTTCTGCATACGAGTTAATTTGCCTTAAGTTTCTCGAGCAAAAATGGCTGCTTGTAGCCGTTAATTAGTTTCAGAGGCCGTACCGTAAATCTTTTAGCCGTAAAATGTCGCGTCTAACTAATGGCTTTGGGAACTTTTGCGACAACCTTTCAAGGGCTTCCGTAACTATCGTTCCGATCCTATACTTCTGCAACTAGTAGGAGGGGGTGTTCTTTATTGCACACCCTGTATACAGCAGTGCGAGAAAAACTACGATAATTGGATTAATCGTCTTTTGTAGAGAAATTGCTCCGTTCATAGCCTTGATTCGACCATGCTTGTATTCTCGTAAACACAATCGAATGGAGTTTGTCAAGGGCACAACGGCCGCTTCTCGGTCATGATAAGGGGCGTTTGTTCCAGGGTATTCGCAGCCTGCAATACTTAATGGCAACGTTCAAACCTCGATCGGTACTCATTACCGGAGCGGCACGTGGCATTGGCCTTGGCCTCGTCCGGCAGTTTATTAAGCGCCCCTACCTGCAGCACATCTTCGCTGGTGTAAGGGATCCTGCAAAAGCTGAGGTATGCTGGCAAGCTATCGGTGTGGGGAAATAATTTTTTTAGTAGTAGTAGAGAAACGTTTTGAAGTAAAAAGTAAAATAAGTAAAATCAAAAGGAAAGCCTTCAGGGATCAGGAAGGACTAGGAAAAATTGTCATAAAACTGGTTTTAGTTCTAAAATTAGCATAAGTCTCCTCTGCTCCCTCCTGCCTCGCCCCACTCTTTGCCCATTTGCATTAGCATTTTCGGTTGGCTCGTTGCCGGTTATAGATCGGCCCTGATCTAGTGGGCCTCCATCAGCCCTTTAGACAAAAATAGCTTTACTACCTGGACTACCTGGAGAATACTTTTGGACTGAGAAGCTCAACAGGGAATATTACTAATATTTTAAGGATCTGAAGAAGATCGGGGACTCACGGCTACACATAATTCAACTAGACATTCTTTCGGACAGCGATATTCAATCGGCGGTCAAAACGGTTTGTTAATTTTTCGCTCTTCCCTCTGCTTCCCGTTCACGAACTCCCCATTTGCAGATTGCTAATACGGTGGGCTCGTCTGGGCTGGAGCTGTTAGTTAATAATGCAGCCGTCTTGATCCCCTACCAATTCAGGTCGGTTAGGACCGCTATTTTTTGCGCAAAAACCCTGATGGGGTACAAGGTAATGAATCGATTCATTCAGCGAGCCACCAAATCGAGCCAATGTTGATTCAGTGATGCGGACGAACGTTACCTCTCAAATCATCGTAACTCACGTGAGTTTGGACTTGTTTTCAATTTATTGGAATTAGCTCAATTGTTCCTCATTCCGCGTAAGTAAGTTAAAACGATGCTGCAGATACCTCAACAAATACCCTACAATCCCGAGTATAGTCCCGGTACAAGTTGGCGACGAAATACAAATGAAGCGTTAATAACGTGCGGCCCCGTCCGCTGGCCGCAAAAGCTATGTATGAGAAACGAAGCGGTTCTCAGGATTTCCTGAATCAATTTCTTTCGTTAAACCACTCAAAATACTGGATCGAAACGTAGCAAATATTCAATCGAAATTCCAAAATATCTTTGAAAGCTGGATATC